ATGCTCCCCGCCCAGCCAACTCTTTGGACACTTTCCTAGGACTGATTCAATTACATACCTGAGGGAAGTTTGACCGTCGCGCCATGGAAACGCGGCGTCTCTCACGGCACTTTATCCTTCCCGTTATACCCTGCTAACAGAGCTGTCGAAGCTCTCAGGACCCCGTGGAGTTGCTAACCAGAGTTGCGAGCTTCGAGCTGGCTGCCAAATTTGCATCGCTTGGATGCCGCAGCATGTCAGATCAAAGGCAGCCCGTTACAGCAAGGTACAGTGGGTTAGAAGGTAGGACTTGAGGTTTGGTTAGGTGAATACGAGGGAAATCAGTGTGGTTTTCCGCGGGAAATACGTGTTGTTTGAGCGATGTATCGCCCCAAGTGGTAAGCACAATGATATGAAGGAGTCAGAGGCTGAGTAGCTAACTAGTTACGCCTAAAATAGGACTTCCCCAAATTAACCGCCAGAAACCTACTCCGCGGCAGGCGGCTGCGGTGCCGGGAGATTCATTTGCGCTCCCACCCTCAGTCATGGCTCACCGCGTGTTTCCCCGTTTCCCATGCGTTTTGAATGCAGCCGATAATGTGCATGTGACAGGGTTGGGTCTGTATATATTTTTTTCACACGTTTACTCATAACGACATGCACGATTACCTCATGACTCATCAGACATCTGAGGGCTCAATTTGATCGATGCCGAAATATGATTGGCTGGCATTGTCTGATCTCTAGGTACTATTGGTCTCAAGAAAATAAAGATAGGGACTCCAGTGACAAGCAATTTAGATGCGAATAATAACCTTTTTTCTTTCTTTTGTTGTGATTTGGGGCATTCCGGCCCAAGAATAATAACCTTACCCCCACCCCCTCAAGCGTGGGTGGGGAGCACTCGGTCCGAGTTTGACAGCTGAGTCGTTCTGACAGCCGACAGCTGGGGGTCTGAATAGAATTTAGTCCATCGTATATTGACAGTCCCAGTAGATAGCCGTCTTGTAATTCGAATATACATATTTGCCGGCACCGGTGTAATAAAACATGAAGCCAAATGCCATAAACAGGGAAGTGCGGCATTTATAAGATTGGGCATAGCTGTTTCTGGTAGGTACTCACCTATCTGCTGGTGGCGGCAGACAGCTACAACTCCTGCGTCCCGGCACTGCAGTCCTGCACCACTCACAGCTGCACTGATGGTCACCAGTCACCACCATCACCGTTAATTGTCACTACACCAACCATCATATCTGTCAACACACCGCGCAAACCACTCGCACAATCCCACCCCAGCAGGACGCCGGTGAAAACAGGGCGCCGGAGGGCATATTAGTCACGTGACATTTGGAACTTCTCCCCCCTCCTTGGGTCTTCTACATGCTAAACGTCACGTGTAAATTTCACGAACCTTGATCAAATCGCCCCAGGCGCCCTGTTTTCACCGTCGTCCCCCCCAGCACACACCGGCCGCGGCACACGGTCACTGCGCCGCCCCGACCCGACCCGGAACGACCGCTAGAGGTCGTGTCACGCGGCAGAGGCGGCGCCAGCGCCCGGCGCCGGGGGTGCACAGAGTGGACAGACGGGGCGGGGCGGCTCCCTGCATGGACATTATTGGAGCTTCTGGTTGGAGTGTCGCTGCATACAATCCTTGGTACTGAATATTGCATCAGTACCAAATGACCAATGAGGCTTAACTATGATTTTTTTTTTCATACCAACCGAGCCTCCGGTCCTTACAACTCGCATACTCAAGCCAGTGAGCTTGGAACTAAGCCAAGCATTTATTTAATAACATTGGACTCGAAAGTGTATCACCCGTCAATGGCAAAACCGGGAAGACGTATTCTCTCGCACTACATGGCATCATGGCGCTCCACTGAACCCTCTGCCGCCTCCCTCCGTCTCGAAGATAGATTATCTAATCTCGCCAGTCTTCTGCAGATTTTCCGACCTCGTTGAGCCCGACGTGAAGGAACCGAATAGACTGTGCGATGGATATCTGCTCGTTACTGCTAACGAATGTGGGACGATGCCTTTGCTGGGCTGAGTTGGGGGCTGTGTGTCAGACTTGGCAAAGACAGCCATCAATGTGGGTATTGTTGGCTTATATCACAAGTCAAAGTGATTCTGTATCATCGCTTCTCCAGTGTGCATTTTTGTCATTAGTGATTTAACAACGCATTAGTGATTTTTCATTATTGTTTTTGAAATTGTCCATTCAACACTGTCTCAACATTGCAATCGTAACACAGTAATATTGCAATTCGCAACTATCATAGCTCAATCAACGCATTTGTCACAAACTTTGTTGTCCGTGCCAATTTGTCATCCCCAATTAAATGATTTAATTTAGCCCAAACCCGACGACATACAAGCGATTTAACAGAATCGCTGAGTCGCGATTTTCAAAAACTTAACAAAAACTGTATAAAACACTTAAAGTTCCCAGAAAGACTGGCCCAGCCAGGTCTCACTGAAGATCGCAGGCACTAAATAAATCCACCTCTCATTTGGCCAGCTTTGTGTTCCATTTTATCTGTTGGGTAAGCTTCACTCCGTCTATTGATACAATGTCAGGGCCACTGGAATTAGAGATTAGGGCCAGACATTGGGCTGATTTGGCCACCGACTGGTGTGCCCGCAACAACAGCTGAGCCCATTCCGTTGGGACTTTTGTAAGTTCTCTTTTGTAGCAGAGAAAGTTCTCCCCGGTGAAACGTGCCACCCAGCCGCTCAAACGACGACACTGGAAACGGGTGCTCCTGATGGAACTGCCAAGGCCAAAGCCTATAGCCCCCCCCCCCTCCCCCCACACCTGGAAACTGCCCTCCAAAGGATTACGAGCGAGCGAGCGCAGCGAGCGAAGTTGGTTGGTTGGTTGGTATTTTGGCTTATCGCGTCGTGGCGGAGACCCGCTCTTGCGAGCGAAGCGAAGTCTTTTCAATATAACGGAAAAATCTCAGTATGAGCGGCCCGGCCCGGCCTGTATCGCTTTTGAGAGGCTTATATCTCATCAACCGCTGGACCGATTGGTCTGCGGTCTTTTTTGCTGGGTAGCCCCATCCCTTCTACCCCGTAATTGACTACTTTTGATACATCTCAGTGACCGTCGTGGCACGTGCCACGTGAAAAGTCAAGGGTGTTCAAGCAGTTTTGCAAAAGTAGTGATTTTGAGAGGCCCATATCTCAGCAGCGGCTTGAGTGATTGTCTTGCGGTAATTTTTATAGGGTAGCTGCATCCCTTCTACCAAAGGTCGGATACTCTTGATCTACGTGAGTGACCCCCACTGCACGTGCAAAATACAAAAAGAAGAGGTGCCAAATTTGTTCCCATTTCAGTAACTCGGTAATTACTGGGGCGATTTCGCTGAAACTTGGCATACAGGTAGGCACCCACCAGGCAATGCATTCCCATGTGTTGCGGTTGGGGTGCTACTGCACGTGCGCACGTGCAGGGGGCGTTTCCAGATCTCGAGAACGGCTGGGCCGATTGCACTCAAATTTGATACACGGTTGGGGACCGGTTAGTAGGGTGCCGTGCAAAAGTCATTTTGGACGCCGTTTGCACGTGCGCACGTGCAGAATGCCGATTCCAGATCTCACGAACGGCTGGGCCGATTGCGTTCAAATTTAGCACACCGCTAGCGACCGGTTAGAGGGGTGCTTTGTACAAGCCCGTTGGAAGTACCCTCTCGCCCTTCTGCACGTGCAAGGCTCACTATCTCGCTCGCTCGTTCTTCGCCCAAAAGGCGTTTTACTGGTATAGTGGGGTGACCGCCAGTCCGAAGCAGGCAAGGGTCAAGAATGCACCGGTCTCGTGAGGAAAGAAAGAACAGGTGAACACGCTTTGTGCAGTGTGCTTTCGCTCATCGCTGAGATGATATTCTTGCGTAGGTATGCTTAATTCCAATGTTCCAGGCAGAAATGTTCCAGGCAGAAATAAGCCCCAGCTTTCAGTAGAGATAGCTCCCCTTCGCATCACGCTGTCTACGAGACCTGTCACATGCGATTGTTCGTTTACTACTCACACCCTGCAGATGGCAGCACCATACGGTATCTTGCTATCGGCCGCTTCTGATGCGTCGGCAGCGCCATCTGCACAAACCACCAGATGTCACTAGCATAGCATCGTGAGGGCTCAGTGAGCTGAAATTCGTGCGTCCTTCGTCATTGCCATGCACGGGATCGATGTACCTATGCGTCCCTTCCTCATCCTTAAAGATCAATGATTAGTGAGCACTGAGCGTGCTTCGCTGCCACGGACTGACCACCACCCCACCAGGCACCAGACAATCGGTGTGGGCAGCTCCTATAGCAGCACGTTCCTATTATGTGACCGCTTGATCGGCTGAGTGTTCTCCCAACGGGAACATCTGTCCCAACTGTCTGGCCCCAACCGATGCGGCAAACCAGCCGATGTTCTACGTAGTCCAATGTCTACCCTGATTCTCTCATACCATCTGTCGTCGAAAGTGAAAACAAATCTGACATAGAAACGGCATAGAAAGTCCTGCTTTACAAGCTACAGGGACTGAAATAATCACTACTCGTTACACCGTTCCATGCTTCTATCCTCAGGATACTGAAATCCTTCTCCTCCACGCCGCAACCCCCCTCCGGGCTGGACAGGCAACTTTATCTCATGCGGGCTGCTCCGGCTTGGAGCGGCACCGCTGCTCCCGAGGGAGCGCACCCCGTAGCCGGGTGCAGTGAGTGCCTTGGGGCTGGGTGGCCTGTCCCCTGGACGGGCTCAGCCCCGGCGACTCACTAGGGTGCCTGCCCAGACCAATGTCTCCCCCTATATCCTATCATCCTCCCGGCTCTGAAATGGTCTTAATGGACCGAAAGGGCCTAACCCAACAAAACAAACAAACAAACTACTCGTTACATGTCACAAATCCGGTTTCCACTATGAAACTATACTGAAGTAACGCACATCATTAAAACTAAAAGTCACGATCCACGAACGAACGATCTGTCCCTGCCCTGAGCTGAAAGAAAATAACGATATCTCGATTAGTAGCTCACAGTTTATTCACATAAATATCTGCACAGATGCCATTCATCAGTATTGGCGAGAAGCAGAGGACAAAACCACAAGTCCGACAAAATAATAGAGCTTCATCTCCAGTCGAGAAATCAGTCAGTGTTACATTATATCATCTTTCACCGCGTAAAAACACTGCTCTCTCCAGCTCAAACGGAACTCAACAGGAACTCATTCCAATCCATCCAGACTCACTGAGCTCACTTCAGGCTCACCTAGAACTCATACGCTGGACATTATTTGATCCCCGCTCACTAGCAAATGTAAGAAATCAGGCGTCTTATAACATCAAAACGATTGTCTTTCTGATAATCATATGAGCAGGAGGAATAGCACGCTGTCTGGCACGCTTTTAGCCACATCGGTGTGATACAAAAGGTTGTCTTCAACGAGGAAGACATTTTTACTCTCGAGAAACCCTCTTTATAGTCAATCCAGCGTGACTCAAGTAATCTGGCTGTCTTAGCTCACCGATCACAAAGAAGCCAACAGCCTGACTTTCGCTCCCGAATCACCAGCGAAATTCACAACTCGCAGAGTTCAAAATCTAGCAAAATAATTCGTAGATTTCTGCACGTGGACACTCCACACACGCACCACTCCAAGAGGAACTTCCCTTAAGCTTTCTTCCAACCTTCCCAAAGGCCTTAAACATTGCCTTTTTGTCACAATCACAGCACTGTGTGCCCAGAGAAAGCCCTTATTCTAAAACTCCCAGTAGGTGGCTCCGGACACATCGGTATTATCCAGAGCGAAGGCGCCGTTCTTCTGAGCGCAGAGATAGCCCCCATGCTCGTCCTTGATACACATCCTGGTGGGCTCGCGCAGCTCCATGAAGAACGGGTGGGGTACGTCGCCAGAGGCAGAGATGCCGTCCTCGGGGGTCCAGTACTTCCCATTCTGACCTGAAAAGGCGGAAAGAAATGGTCAGACGACTCCAAGACGAATATCCATGGGGTAATGACCTAGAGCTGTATTGGCTGTGTGACCAAAACTTCACTGACCAGTGTCAAGTGTGCATTGTGTACGTGAACTCGGTAACATCATCGACCATTTAAACGCCAGCTAAATTAGGAGAAAAGATCGCAAAACAGATGAAACATTTTTTGGACTTTTCAACGATGGTCTATGCCATTCAAATGCCGTACCCAAAATAAAAGAGCATTTTTCACTTTAATAACGTAAGTCGTGCTTTTTCCTCAGTTAAAGGGACAGTATCATCGAAAAAAAATCAATGTATGGAGCTGATTTTTTTTTTTTACTAGCATTTCTTATTTTGCTGAATCAGAAATACATAGTTTGAGGACCGAACTCGGTGAAAAATGTTGCAACCACATTTCATTTTCATGATTCATTTTCATGAGCGAACCACCACTATACAAGCATGGCCGCCATTTTGGAAGCATGCAAAATTACTACAGAACTGGCGCAGATAATACATTATTGACGCTACGCTTACGCGGTCGTTCTTCTGATTAAGTTGTCCTTAGGGAGAGGTAGCCTTAGGTATTGCCTATAAAAATATCACGTGACAATTGGAGGGAGTGACAATGGGACGTGACAATTGACAATGGGAGACAATATCACGTGACAATCACGTGATAAACGTCATACATTGGAGGGAGATTGTGATTCAAGCTGGAGGAATTCCTTTGTTGAGCCGCTAGAATCCGAAGGAAACAGCGGAAATTGCCTACGACTATTTAATGAATTTAACGGTGATGAATAAGTGCGAAAAACGTTTTGGCTTTATAAAATTTGATGAAATGACCAGGGTAAAAGTTTTATTACTGGCGGTCAATTCAAAACGGCGCAAACATTTAAACAGTGAAGATAGTGAAGCACGATTCAAAGTGTAGTACATCTTTCGTACTTTGAGCGGCGATAGCGGGATAACGGTGTGGAGCTTCGAGGATCGGTCTTCAGTTCCCGGACCAGAAAGGTGGGGCCTATGCAATGTCAAATTTCATCAAAATGGTGATACTGTCCCTTTAAAGAGGTAGGTGCCCGCTTACTCGTATCAAAAGACCATTACCGTTCAGAATTTCGCATCTAGTAAACGATATCAAACAAACCCTATCGTTTACGCCCAGTACACTGACCTTTGAAGAACACGCGTCCCTTGTCGCCCCGCTCCACGTGCACGGTCTCGTAGTTGGTCTTGTTACATTCGAGCTTTGTAGAGGAGGAGCTCTTGTAGCCGACAAAGCCCTGGTCACACTTCAGCACTAGAATTGGCCTGCGGGAAAAGAGGTTTGCGGGTTAATGCACAGACACTTCAAGTAGGACGTTCGAAATGAAAACTAGGCGGTCAGACTCGGGGTATTACCATGAACTTGATAAGAAACTTACATATGAAGGCAACTTTTGATTATTATTAGCAATGAAAGTTTTTAGTAACAGGCCATCCGGTTCTTTACTATCCCACATACGCCCAGATGTGCCTTGTTCAATTCACACGATCCCCCTAGTCTCTAACCATCACCTACCTGTTGATCAAGTAGAAGTAGAATTTGGCATTCTCCTCGTTCTCCTCCGAGTTGGCGAACAGATGGCCCGACTTTTTGGCGGACAGACACTTGCCGTTGTTGGCTCTCAGCGATACGGAGCCGTCACCATGCCAGACCAGGTCAAACAACGAGTTGGAGGATCTGAGAAAGAAGACGGAAAAGGGCGTTAAGGGGGCCAGACAATGTGGAAGAGGGTGGTAAAGGGAATGGTGACTTGCATCAGAGGGCTGTGAGAGACCAATTTTGCCAGGTTATTTGACGAGGTGAATATCATGTATATGTCGTTACTAGGAAATTTTATCAACATTTCGTCTTCGTCTGAACAACGTTTAACGAGATGCGTATGCACTATGCAGTCACTAGACTGATCTTCAACTGAACCAAGTCATGCATCTGAAACAGTCCCACAATGCCTTGCCCACCCCTCGCCATCGGCCTTACTTTTTCCCGGCGGCCGCCTGAATGCCACCGGAACTCTCCAGGGTCCAGTAGCGGTCCTGCATGGTACGAATGTACCAGCGCCGGGTGTCGGGGTCGAACTCGAGCAGGAACCGCTCCGTCTGTTCCACCTCCTCCTGGTTGGCCGTGACGTCAATACCTGGGGAGGGTGGTAGGGGTTAACGAGAGGTCAATGTGAGGTCAATGCGAGGTCAAGATGTTGGAGAGATCGGAGCTAAATATGAAAGACGCTTGAAAAGAAAAGATCATGCAGGGCAACAGTACCTTGACGACATAAGATCAATGTCAACAATGGTACTATTGGGTAGACATATTATTTATAAGTCTAGTAAAAGGGATGAGACAGAGATGGATCAAGAGATAAAAAGATAAATAAAATGGCATGAATATAATAAAAATAATAAAGTTGCATCGTGAATTTCGTGATAGCCCAAAACCTCAAGAGTTTGTGTGGAAACAGACTCAAAGTAGGTATAGCACACAAGACGTTTCGAAAACGGACACACAGAGCGAAGTGATAAGATAAATCAAAACACCAACAGTGCTTAGACCTAAGAAAGTGAGTTTCCAAAACCCAATGACAAAAGGAGAGTCTTGCATTCATCAACACTGGTGATATGTCCCTCAACTCGCATGCAATTTACATTCCAACACACTGAATCCTCTCCCGTCCATCTGATTCAGCCTTATCCCCCCGTCTATCTCAGCAGAAACTCCATCTTACCCGGCTGACCCAATCTGACCCTATCACTTCGCATTGTCAACTCAGCAACAGCTCAACCCGACAGCCTCAGCTCTTAACAATCTCAACTATCTTTCAGATGACCCGACACGGACCTTGTTTGACGCTGACGTATCGGTCGTTGAGGGCAGCCGAGAAGCAGGCCTGGGGCAGCGAATTCTCCAGTGTGAACAGCTCGTCTTTGGTGACGGCAATACCGCGGGATTTCAGCTGCGCCTGGGGGAGAGGGAGATGCGGATTAGCATGGTGTTATAAAATGAGCAGAAAACGACATTAGAAGCACACAAAATTACTCATCTTCAAAGACAGATCACAATGAGTAAACGGTGGAGGAAAATACACAAGACAATGTGAAAGCTTGCGAATGATCATCAGAGCCAAATCCTGGTTTGTCGATATTTGTTTGTTGATTTTCTGAAACGACTTCAGCCTAAGGTAACAGGTGGAAATATCTATTTAATAAAGCTGAGTGAGCACGAGTTTTCCCTCTTGAATTCAATGACCAATCGGGAAGTGTTTGGGACAAACAACTATTGAAAACAGGCGGCGGACTTTCTCCTTCACTATCGGCAGTGCATCTAAAACGTGTTATGAACGACTCCAAGGTGAAGTGAGAGGCTTATGATATCAACCAAGGACGTGAAACAGTATCATTCACAGGTACTCCTTCAACCTGCTTGCATGCAGTGGAAAACCACATCTCAGTTGCAGCTGACCGAGACAATGGGAATCAACAAGGGGGAAAATATTGAAAAATACCATCGGAGCATGGAATTTCTTGGTATACCAGATAGCATTCCTGAGCTCCGTGGGCTTTCATTAGCCCTCCACCTGTCGATGGATGATGCAATGATTTATAGATGACAGTTTGATATCTTAATTGTTTTATAGTCATATATGTAGAACGAACGGTTACGCCAGTGTAGCGATAGTGCATGTAACGCCAGACACATCTGAGTGCGTCTTTATTCCCCCACTCGGACGATCATTTCGCCAAGGATATGTTCCCCAAAGTCCAGGTGCCATCCCTCATGTCTGGCCCCACCGGTTAAGGGTACTTTTCGAGGCTGTTCTTCCCTATAGGTGCCAGATCCCACCTTTTTTACTTACATGTCGAAGGTTCCCCATACGGGTACCGACTACCGAACCGTTTATATTTCGCATGAAAACTAGTGATACTATCACGGTGCTTACACGGTGCTTTTGATACGGCAAACGTTACATTTTCAACACATCTCTCACCTTCGACCCGACCGGTGACAGGTACTTTCCCGCCCGGTCCCGGAGTGCCAGACTGCCGTTGTGGTACTCGATGCTGAACAGGCAGTCCTCGGCGCACGAGCTCTGCAGTCCTCCCTCGCGATGTAGGTAGAGGTTGTTACACGTGTGCAACGCGTAGTGGTTGTCACGGAACTCCAATGTGAAGAGCGTGTCCTCGCCCCAGGGGATGTTGGCGTCCACGTGAATCTCGTCCTGATCCTCGGAGAGGTGCGCGAACCGCTTCCGACCCAGACTGTACAGATTGACCTGAGGTCGTGCGGCTAGATGGACATACCTGTGAAAGGTCAGGTCAGGGTCAGTTATCGGAATGTCCAGCGAAATTCGATGGCGAGTCACGAAAGCAAAAATGTGACGGAAAAACATGCAGATAGCGATGGCATGACAACGATGCATGCGAACAATAGGATTTGCTCAGGCAACAGATGTGGAGTCGAATTGTCTTTCAATCAGTGGCACAAAGGCAGCTAAAAACGTAACCAAGACGGCACCGGCATTCAATTGTTTGGGCACGTCCGATAAAACAATGTATGAGTGGTATTTGAATAGGAAGGATGCGATGCAAATTAATTTGATAAGTTAAAGCAGCATTAAGTAGTGTTCCGTTACCAAGAAAGCTCACTTGGGATAAACGTTATCTGACAATCTATTTCATTTTGATTTCATTACACCACCGACGCCCACCACTTCTCACCAGAGTTCGGAATCCGCCGGCGCCTTGGCGTTGCAGACGAGCTTGTCTCCGGCAGAGCCGAGGAAGTACTTCCGCTCCACGTTCTTGAGCGCCCACCGGCCACTTCCGTCAGTGGAGAGCGCGATCTCAAACACGCCACCCGCCTCCAGTTCATCAGACTCGCAGGTAACGTTGCCGAAGGAGTCGACGGCCAGGTATTTGCCCAGATGGGAGCGCAGTGAGATCTGACCGGCATCTCCAGTCGGCTGCATTGTCCATAGCTGCTTCTTCTTCAGGGAGGTGCCTGAGGAGGGAAAGAAATTGAGTTAGTGAGGGGAAAGTTGAGGGTTCGAAGCTAGGCTTAGGTGAATATTTCGCTTTACTCGGGAGGTTGGGCTGTTAAGATGTTGTTTTTACGATACTGTGCCATGGCGGACTCACTTCTCAGTGCCTAAGTTGTGTCACGAGTCTTACAACACTTGACTAGGCGAGTGTGTTATCATATCATATATGTACTTGCTAGCAAAGTGGACGAGGGGTTGAGGACGCATTTCAAAACGGTTAAGTCGCACTCAACGCAAACACTAAAAGCTGATTACGAGCGAGCGAGCGCAGGGAGCGAAGTGAGTCTTTTCAATATAACGGAAAAATCTCAGTATGAGCGGCCCGGCCCGGCCCGGCCTGAAACGCTTTTGAGAGGCTTATATCTCGGCAACCGCTGGACCGATTGGCATGGGGCCTTTTTTGCTGGGTAGCCCCATCCCTTCTACCCCGTAATTGACTACTTTTGATACATCTCAGTGACCGTCGTGGCACGTGCCACGTGAAAAGTCAAGGGTGTTCAAGCTGTTTTGCAAAAGTAGTGATTTTGAGAGGCTCATATCTCAGTAGCCGCTTGGGCGATTGTCTTGCGGTAATTTTTGTAGGGTAGTTGCATCCTTTCTACCAAAGGTCGGATACTCTTAATCTATATGAGTGACCTCCACTGCACGTGCAAAATGCAAAAAGAAGAGGTGCCAAATTTGTTCCCATTTCAATAACTCTGTAATTACTGGGGCGATTTCGCTGAAACTTGGCATACAGGTAGGCACCCACCAGGCAATGCATTCCCATGTGTTGCGGTTAGGGTGCTACTGCCCGTGCGCACGTGCATGGGGCGCACAGTGGGCCGGGCGGCCGCCAGGAGCGCTGGAAATTATTTGCGCTCGAGTTATCGTTCAACTGACTGTGAAAACATTTCATTTACAACGTTTAGCGAGATACCACACCAATAAGATGTAAATTCAAGACTTCTAATACCATGCATGCATGCATGTTGCAATTTGCATACACTGCACTTAGTTTACTGAGGAGTTCAAAAGGCGTCATTCCTGGTAAGATTTTAACACACTTCCCGGCACTCACAGTTTCTCCATTAATGACCGACACATGAATTGGTCAAGGATACAATCTTCTCTCTCTCTCTCTCTCTCTCTCTCTCTCTCTCTCTCTCTCTCTCTCTCTCTCTCTCTCTCTCTCTCTCTCTCTCTCTCTCTCTCTGTCTCTGTCTCTCTGTCTCTCTGTCTCTCTGTCTCTCTGTCTCTCTGTCTCTCTGTCTCTCTGTCTCTCTGTCTCTCTGTCTCTCTGTCTCTCTGTCTCTCTGTCTCTCTGTCTCCCTGTCTCCCTGTCTCCCTGTCTCCCTGTCTCCCTGTCTCTCTCTCTCTCTCTCTCTCTCTCTCTCTCTCTCTCTCTCTCTCTCTCTCTCTCTCTTTCTCTCTCTCTCTCTCTCTCTCTCTCTTTCTCTCTCTCTCTCTCTCTCTCTCTCTCTCTCTCTCTCTCTCTCTCTCTCTCTCTCTCTCTCTCTCTCTCTCTCTCTCTCTATCTGAGGGTCGAGGCTTCGCATCGGAGGGTCGAGGCTTCGCATCGACCCTCCCCTGCCTGTTGTAGGATATAGAACCCCTCATATTGAAGGATATATTTCTTAAACTAGCAGGGAAAAGCATACAAAATCGACTACGGTTGGAAAGTGTAACACTAGCCCAATCTTTTTATACCGTCAAAATTAGGTGCCCGAAGTTACATTTTTATAAACGTATAATTTAATACATCTTTAATATTTCCTCTAATATTTTTGAAACCTGCTGCAAGCTTACTATATATAGGATCAAGTGAGTGATCCCAATGAATTCGGTTATGAATACGATCACAATATGCCCCTGTAGAAGGTATTGTAAAGTTCAGAGCGCTGGGCATCCCCGTTTTTGCACTGTCGCGAAAATAAGGTTTCGCATCGACCCTCCCCTGCCTGTTGTAGGATATAGAAACCCTCATATTGAAGGCTATATTTCTTAAACTAGCAGGGAAAAGCAGAAAAAATCGACTACGGTTGGAAAGTACAACACTAGCCCAATCTTACTATGCCGTCATAATTAGGTGCCCGAAATCACATGTTTGAAAGAAATGTAACTCAATGTATCCTTAGTATTTTCTCTAATATTTTTGAAAAATGCTGCAAGCTCACTTTTTATAGGATCAAGTGAGTGATCCCAATGAATTCGTTTATGAATACGATCACAACATGCCCCTGTAGAAGCTATTGTAAAGTTCAGCGCGCTGGGCAACCCCGTTTTTGCACTGTCGCGAAAATAATGTTTCGCATCGACCCTCCCCTGCCTGTTGTAGGATATAGAACCCCTCATATTGAAGGCTATATTTCTTAAACTAGCAGGGAAAAGCAGAAGAAATCGACTACGGTTGGAAACTACAACACCAGCGCAATCTTATTATGCCGTCAGAATTAGGTGCACGAAATCACATGTTTGAAAAAAATATAATTCAATGTATCCTTAATATGTCCTCTGATATTTTTGAAACATGCTGCAAGCTTACTATATATAGGATCAAGTGAGTGATCCCAATGAATTCGGTTATGAATACGATCACAATATGCCCCTGTAGAAGCTATTGTAAAGTTCAGCGCGATGCGCATCCCCGTTTTTGCACCATCGCGAATATAAGGCTTCGCATCGACCCTCCCCTGCCTATTGTAGGATATATAAATGAAGCAATTTGCAATTTTCAGGGCTCAAACGATAGAAAATTGAATTTTCTACAAGATGGTTATCTCGGATTTTCAAAATATTGAGTTTTAGGGGTCCAAAATGTCAAACCAAATTTTGAGAAAAATTTGATTTTTTCAAAAATTTGAATTTTTCAAAAAAATGAGACAAGTTGTCCTCGGGCATCAAAAGAAGAATCAGCATGCAAAATTTCAAGTCCGTAGCTCAATATTTGGTTGCTATAGAGGGCGCAAAAAGTAACAAAATATCCAATTTCATTTTTCAAACTCAAATTTTTGGTACTTATAGGGGTCGTAGAGCAAAACAAAAGACATTTTTGGAATCCTGAGATAAAACTGCATCAGATAGCATGTTTTGAATTCAAAATTTTGAATTTTGAAAATTTCGAATTTTTAACCCCTTTTTTCACTTTTTCACCATTTTGCGGGGGTCAAATCTCCAAATTCTTGCCACCATCGTGTTCTACGTCCAAAACTACCCCAAAAACATGTGTCACACGGTATTTAAATGTTATTTTGAAAATTCGACTTTGTGTGACCTTTGGTGACCTGACCTTGACCTTGACCTGTGCTCCAATTCGCTTTAGACACAATGAGACTTTTCTTACATCTTTTGGGCACATGCCAAGAAATTTTGAGCTCGCTGCTGTCGGTAGTTCGGTCTCTGGGGCCCAAAATGAAAACCCCTATTTTTTACCTTTGACCTGACCTTGACCTCAAGTTTGACCTGAGAACCAAATTTAAGTATTCATCAGATGCGTCTTGTTTAGAGCTTTCGTTTGCCGCCTCGCCTGTCCCGCTGCGACTAACCGTTCTCGAGTTATGGGCTGGGGACGTCTGACGGCCCCCCCCCCCCCCCCCCAGCAAGTGGTGTTATGAAAATACCCCAGCAAATGCCGGGTTAAAACAAGTTTTAAATGCTAATCGAACACATCTTGTTGAGACCTTTCGATCGCTGCCATGCGCATCTCGCTGCGACCATTTGTTCGCAAGTTATAGGCTAAGGACGTTCACTACCCCTCTCCCAACCAGATGGTATAAAAATACCCCAGCAAATGCCAGTATAGCTCCTAAACTAGCAGCGAAAAGCAGAAAAAATCGACAACGGTTCGAAAGTACAACACTTGCCCAATCTTATTATGCCGTCAGAATTAGGTGCCAAAAATAACGTTTTTATATAAGTCTAATTGAATATAAGCTTATGTAGATGTCTGCAACATGTTGCAAACTCACTATTTAGAGTGCAATCAGATGAGTGAGCCCAATGAAATTGGTTATGAACATGATCACAATAACCGTGTGCATCATGTGCAGTCGTTTATTTTCACCAATAAGATGTTCATTCATGAGAAAAGAGCAATTCAAAATCTAGTCGAAATCGTTCAGATAGCCGCTTCATTCCCTAACCGTCAGTTAGACTGTGTTCGGAGCTGAATATTGGCCGTGACATCGGTCTCATACTTATTCACGGCACGGCATCGTATCCTATGATCAATTTCGAGTCTGTGGGTATTAATTTTTTGCACCCTGAGCACGTTTCATTTTTCGGCATTTCTAGCGCTCCTGGCGGCCGGCCGGCCTACTGTGGGGCGCTCCCAGATCTCGAGAACGGCTAGGCCGATTGCGCTCAAATTTGGTACACGGTTGGGGTCCGGTTAGAAGGGTGCCGTGCAAAAGTCAGTTTGGACCCCGTTTGCACGTGCGCACGTGCAGAATGCCGCTTCCAGATCTCAAGAACGGCTGGGCCGATTGCGTTCAAATTTGGCACACCGCTAGCGACCGGCTAGAAGGGTGCTTTGCACAAGCCCGTTGGAAGTACCCTCACGCCCTTCCGCACGCGTGCAGGGCTTACTATCTCGCTCGCTCGTTCTTCGCCCAAAAGGCGTTTTACTGGTATTAGAACAGGGTCGTCTTGTTGTATGCAAAATACATATTTCAGCGCCTTTACAAAGGCTATGTTGTTTAAAGGGACCCTCCCACCTTCAAAAAAGTTTATGAATTGGCATGAAAGTGATGTCGCTCGGTTCAGAAAGAGCGAAAACGAATATCTACCAAATTTCACCGAAAAATATTCACCGGTTTTCAAGATATTAGACTTTTACTTTTGTTTACTTTTTGGGATCTCCGCTGTTCCTAGCGACTTTATTTGAAAGTGCGGCATTTGTTGCGCGCAAAGCAGCATATACCACCGCGTGCTACAAAACGTTTTAGTCAAACATTTAACGGACGTTCGGAAGCCTGATGACGTCATCAGATTCCCGTAATGGTTAAGAGATAGGGACCACGCTGGTCCCACCCTGCAAGTAAAGGGAAGAAATTTCTTGGACACCATAAAGCTGCGGGGGTTGCGACCAGGATAAATGGTGGTTTCTGAGCCTGGCCGCAAACTTGGCTATCTCAACTCAAAACTAACGTTAAGGTGGGAGGGTCCCTTTAAAACCATGCATTATCTAATATCTCCATGAAGTTGCTTCAAGAGATGTGTGCAAAAGTGTTGCGGAAACGAACAGATAAAAGTAGTCCGTGCTTGTGCATTAAATACTACATTAAAATTGATAAAGCGAAACCAAACAAAAGGCAGCTCTAGTCGAAACATGAAGACTAATTTATTTAACGGTCTCGGTCGGGTAGTAAGCGGTGGGTTCTGGACAGCTGTGGCCAGTGCCGAGTGCGATGTGCGGTGTAATTGTGGCCACACTGACCGAAGAACAGCTGGGAGACTTTCCCGAAAACAGTGGCAAAAACTGGCCCTTCAATAGTGCGGCGCTGGAGGCGGTGCGGCCAGGAAAGTGAAAACTACGAGAAATGCCTTCAGCATTGACATACATTCGGCAAGGGGAGGGAGGCTTTGTAGCGTCCTCTAAGCAAGGCTGTAGATGTGCAATGTGCATCCGTTTTCGAAATCGTCGCAAACCGATTGGTCTTTGCTGATCGTGCAATACCGCCGTTATCGAGTGATTCAGCCGCCGAGCGACCACGAAAGATGACAGTCAATCAGCGACTCGGGGCATACGATCAACTGAACTAGTAATCATGAAAGCATCGCGAGTATCCCCTTCGACCAAGTTACCACGTTCATGCAGACCCAATCCATAAAACAATCTCTGACTGAATCTAACTACGAGTTTCTGCAAATGATTCGAATGAAGTAAGACTTCCAGCGAGACGGAGCGAATTGAAATACAATTCTGCAACGAAACGAATCGCACCGCGAGGTACCATAACTGACTGAATCATAACTGACTGAATCAAACTGCCACGACGAATTATGTTGCTAACCTTACCCTGTGACCGATACCACCCTTTGTCACAACAGCCACTGACTAAAGCCTAAGTCAGTTAGCTGAGCCCGAAGCCAGTCAGTTGACCGTCTCCAGGGCTGCGGAGTCGGAGTCGAAGTTGGTCGGAGTCGACAGTTCTGACCGGAGTCGGAATCGATTAGGGAAACCAGAGCCGGAGTCGGAGTCACCGAGAATCCATCGACTCCGAGGCCCTGCCAGGTCTGCGGAGGCATAGTCGAAGTTGGAGTCGGTCGGAGTCGACAGTTCTACCCAGAGTCTGACTTGATTCTTGAAAGCTGGAGTTGGAGTCGGAGTCGGAGTCACCGTCACCGAAAATCCATCAACCCCGCAGTCCTGCCCGTCTCATATACCTACCTAACTGCAGCATACCATAGACGGCTTACAACTCCCCGAACGCACCGCCCCCATAACAGAGACCCAGGCCGGGCTGACTGGGCCGACTGCACCCTGACGCACTCGCACTTCACATAGAGGAAGTGATAGGTACCTGATACTGTGAACAGGAGGACACACTTTATTCGGGTGTCGGAGTTGCTAAGAGCCGACGAAAAGTTCGTTTGTTGACTGCGACGGCCCGTAATGAGAAATTGAATGAATGAATCAATGAATGAATGACTCCCGAAACAGAACACCATACTATACTACATTTGCGGCCCACCGCAGATCGTGGTAGCGTGGCCGAGTGGTCTAAGGCGCTGGTTTTAGGCACCAGTCCGAAAGGGCGTGGGTTCGAATCCCACCGCTGCCAAACTTATTCCTGTTGAAAGCAACTCATCGATTTTGGTCAGACCAAAATCGACCCCATACAGCATACTGATGATGCGTACTCCTGCCCTCAGCCCCCAACCCCAACCCGACATAGGTATTGATTTTATCCTTTTCAGGCTCACGAAACATGTGAGACATGGGGGGAGGCATCAGGCAAGGATGCAACCCAATCAAACTCCTAACATCGATTTAAAGGAAGGGTGCCACCTTTTGGACACAACGCAGTTTTTACAAGATTAGCCTCACATGAACCTAAAAACCGGCTTCACTTACCTATGCTCGAGACGGTCAGCATTGAATCCGCACGTGAAGTTATCATTTGCGAGTTTTGCTGCCAGCATTCGGGCAGGCAAAAATCTTCAGCACTATTTCCTCGTCGTGTTAAGGGTATTTTATAAAACATGAAATCAGCAAAGGTATGTATGAAAGTTATACTTTTGAAGCATGTTTTATCATTTTGAAAGGGTATATTTTTTCTTTATAGTATACACTTAAGTTTTAAAATTTTAATTGGGAAGTTTTTCTAGTAAGTTGCATGAAGGGTGAAGGGTTCCATAGATCTCTTAAGCATTGTAAAGGAAAAACCTTTACTCGACTTATTTGATGTTCTTTTGACGTATCTTACTTAGTTCAACTTACTTACTACAACTTAGTTCAAATCATGTTATCTTCTTCCTTTTTATTTGTTCATCTTTTTGTCTCAGTTGCGCCATCAATGCAAATGGCAGAATGATATGTTGCCATGACAACAGGATATGCCAGCCGTCCTTGCTGCCACATCAAACGACCTTGAGTTGTAGTGGTGATATAAACAACGATCTTTTTTTTGGCCAATGTATTAAATGCAATGTTTCGGTTTTTTGTATATTGTGGACGCGCTAACCACGTCTAAAAATTCAAATAAGTAAAATAGATTCATAGAACAAAAATTTCGGAAGGTGGCACCCTTCCTTTAAAGGCATACTTGAGTGACTCACTATTCACTATCCAGTATCTGGTGATCCATGGCCATGCTCATTGATCACAAGTCACTGAAGAAGCTTCATAGCTGGATCAACGTAGATGAAATGGGACAGGTATGCAGCAATGAACTTCTTTCGCCCGTCTCCTAAATCGCATCAAGTTACATCGTGCCTAATTAATCGTTGAATAGTTGAATGAAAGTACGCAACTTCTTGGTCTAATACACTTAAAATCAAGCAATGACAATTAATTGGTATAATATCATTTTTATTTTTAATAATACTTAGAATCATGCCAAAAAATGTTACAGCTTGTGCCTCAATAAACACCAATGTGAACGATAAAATAGTCCTCCATTTTACTTCCTGATGAATTAAATCAGGGCTGCGGAGTCAGAATCGAGGTCGGTCGGAGTCGGAATCAGAGTCGGTATCGGTTTTGGAAACCGGAGCCGGAGTCGGAGTCATCGAAACTTCGTCGACTCCGCAGTCCTGCCAGTTCTGCGGAGTCGGAGTTAAAGTCGTTCGGAGTCGACAGTTCTGCCCGGAGTTGGAGTCGGAGTCGGAAATGGTTTTTGAAAGCCGGAGTCGGAGTCACCGGAAATCCATTGACTCCGCAGCCCTGATTTTTATCAATGTAAATATATTACATCACACTCAGCTACATGAGTGATTCACTTTCACTTTTGCGCTTCCACGTACCGTTGGCGTTGATTTTGAAGCCGAACGTCTCAGCTGTGAGGTATTTTCCGCCGCTGAGCAGGCCCACCGTCCAGGCCCTCTCGTCGGTGGCTGGCTCGCACGTGCCGCCGTTCATACCGTTGCTGCTGCCGTTCATCTTGTCCATCTGTGGAGCAGAGGTCAGAGGTCAGAGGTCAGAGGTCAGAGGTTAGAGGTCAGGTCAGGTCAGGCCGGGGGAAAGTTTATTTTGATCAGGTTCGGGGTTCGCTGAGCTGGTGCTACCGTTCATTTTTTATCTGAGAGGCAGAGGCAGCATAGATCAGGTCAGGTCAGGAAAAGTGAGTGAGGCTGTTCGATTCGCTGCTGCTATTTAAATGATCATTTTAAGAGAAGCTACCGGAGAGAAGATCAGAGATCAGTTTACGAACAGAAAATCGCCGGCCCCCGGTATTTTTGCATCGCAGTCAAAGTAGCCCACAGGATAAACCAGCCACGTAAACAGAAAGTCTGCTGTGAAATCCACGTAATGCCATGCCTAATGCCTGACATTATTTTCATATCATAGTGTTTTTTGTTTGTGTACTGGCAACAATCTGGGGTGACATTAGGCAAAAAATATCCGCACGCGTCGATTTTTCTGTCGGGCATACTGGCCTCGGGTTTGGGCAGGTCAACGTAAATCAGATGTCAACTATGGGCAGGTAAGTCGAGTCAATTAAATGCTGCTAAGATCGGAGCTCCCATGAACATGATTTGCATTGAGGCGAACAAGAGTAAATCAGAAGCTTTTTTTATGTCGTGAGACGGATCAACGTAATGAAGACAGTCTTAAATACCTATATGTTCAACACACTGCTCAACATAAGTTAGGTATTCTTAAGCAGCTTTATTTCTAGTGACAATTTCAAACACCTAACTTAAGTTAGGCGCAGGTTTTAGCTTTGTGCATCAGTGCGCAACAGGGAGCGCTTGAAAGAAAACTGAAAAGGCTTTCTTATTCCAGAGGTATAGTTCACGGTGGTCTTACCGTGCCTCCCTCCCGTCAAATTAGGCCCCGGGCAAGGTCACGGTTAGGGTCAAAATGTTGATCGGACCCTCATCGACCGTTATAAAAAAGGCAGGTTTGGCAAAGACCAGCCTTTCAACCATGGGAAGCCTTCATTATGAGTTTTATGCATTTCTAGTTTGATATTGTTTCTGAAGCAAAAATATGAGGTGTCACTGTCTAGGATATTGTAAAACATACCCAATATCCAGACGTCTCCAGAAATCACTTCCTTCCAGCACCCTCTTTCTCCTTCACTATCGTCACTACACACCTCCTCTCACGTTCTTTCTCACACTCGATTCCGATTCCCACTTTCCACCAGGCTCACACGGGCCTTGTTCACAAATAACCGGCACGCACCTCTCCCCACGGCCTCAGAATCACGACTGCTGGCTCGCCGCTCGCCGCCGCCGCTCGCCCGCCCGCCGCCGCCACCCGGCGCCGCCGCACCGCCGCCATCCGGCGCCACCCCGCCTCGCCACGCTGCTGAGCCACGCTGGGGCTTTGTCGCACTCCGCTACTCCGCCAGACATCCACCCGCCCGGCCGGCCACCCGCCAGCGTGACCAACGCGGGGCCGGTTGACTGGACGGTTAGACGGCCTGGCCGGGCCAGCTAGCTGACTGGCTGGCTAGACTGGCTAGCTGGTTGGCTGGCTAGATGGTTGCTTAGCTTATCGGCTGACTGGCTGGATAGCTGACTGGCTGGATGGCTAGCCTGGCTGGACTGGCTGGCTGGCTAGATGGTTACTTAGCTTATCGGCTGACTGGCTGACTGGCTAGCTGGCTGGCTGGCTAGATGGTTGCTTAGCTTATCGGCTGACTGGTAGATAGCTGACTGGCTGGATGGCTAGCCTGGCTGACTGACTGGCTAGCTGGCTGCCTAGTGCCTAACTAATCGGCTGACTGGCTGGATAGCTGACTGGCTAGCTGGACTGGCTGTTTGGCTGGTTTGTGTTGGCTGGATGGCTGGATATCTGACTGACTGGCTAGCTACCTGGCTGGTAGGTCGGCTGGTCAGGGGTCTGGAGTTGTAGGAGGGGGAAACGGAGGGTGGGGTGGAGGGCGGGCGGAAGGGTATCGGAGGATTCCAGCGATGACGTGACGGTGGTGTTAAGAGAAGGGTGGGAGAGACGGCGGCGCCCGGCGGTGACTAGTGACGGAAAGCCAGATCACGCCAGGCTTCACTCACTGGCGCCACTATTCCTCTGTTAGTGCAGTTCCATTTTTACCAGTGCCACCACCTCTAATGCCAGTAAAAGACGGCTTTGGCTTTTGAGCACGTGTGTCCGAGGTTGGATGTTCGGAATGAAATGGGACAGCGGATGGTGTGAAAATTGAAAATTTACCGCAGATTTGTGGTTCGGTCAAACCGGCTACAGCGACTTAATTCATGTAGAATTTAGATCCTATGAAAAACTAAGAGCCATCAACTCAAACACCGGTGGCTCCCTGTACCCATCTCTTCTCCGCTCTCCAAGTTCCCAACGAGTCTGCAGCCCCACACCACACACAAACCGACATACCTACAGCCCGGCTCCCACAGAGAACCGCTGGCTCCCGGATGGCTGCCATTCCGGAATCTGACCTTGCTCGGGCGGCATCTGGTCTTCCCTTCCCCTCCCTGTCCCTCGCTGCCCGCACTGCGCCGGGTATCGGAGTTGGTGGTAAACAGGCACGCAGTTCCATCCGTGGTGTTGTCCAACAGCGCTGTAGGGGGAGTAATGGGAAGGGATGAGAATCGTGCGCATTTGCATGACATTAGTGGATGTAACTTTGTAACTTTGAAATTGAAATACATGTACTGTGATGGGGACGTTGATGATTTCATTCCTCAGCTATACTGTCAAACTAGATGCCGGCAGCGCTCTTGCGTTGCCTTGGGCCAGAATTGGAGGAACGGTACTGAGGGCACACACCGGGCCAAACCACCGAAACCCAGACTGAGCTTGGACTGAACCTGAAACCAAACGAAACATCCCAAAAATGCTTCGAAGCACGTGATATTGGTGCGGATATCTTCCTACAGTATGGTATGAATTAACTGCACGTGCATAGTTCATGTCCCAGGCACCCCAGTGCAGTCATTTTCATAACATCATGTAGCGTGTGTCTAGTTCTATCAGTGTACCGACTTTTGTGTCGCTAGATCGACGTTTCCCGGGATCAGAGGATCCCTAGTCAAAACCGTTATCCGCCCCCCGCACGCGCAGCTTGCACCCCTGGGATATTATCTCGCCGGAATGTTACGACTCAATGTATTCTTCTTATGACCTGCAAGTTTTGAACCAGTTAGAGCGGCCGTTTACCCTGCAGGCGTGGCAACGCACGAAGGGGTGCAATCGGCTTGCACGTACCTAGCTCGTGCACCACAGAGTTTAGCTCAACCAAATGTGCACTATTTTGGAGGTCTTGCCTGAGACTACCATTGAACCGATTTTGAGGTTGATAGCTCAAAATTTCTTTGAGCCAGAGGACCTCACGTCAAAAGGGTTTTCCGCCCCCAGCACGTGCAGCCTGCACCCCTCGCAGACGGTGACCCCCCTGGAAACTGGTTCAAGGTGTTACCGATGTGTCCCGCCAGTGTGGCTTTGTCCGTGACCTCGGGTTGACCTGTAGCCTTGACAAAAAATTTCGTGTCACCGAAACTTTGAAGCGGAATAGCATGTGCCACGAAGCACTGAGCGAACCGAGGCCAGTACCAAAAGTTTACCTCGCCGGAGACGAGTCGAACGGTCCCACTTTCGTCCCGATCGGTCCACCCATTTTGACTCCAGGTCCAAAAAGGCTTGGACAAACTCACTCACATACTCACTCACATACTCACATACTGACAAACAGGCTTGGCCGAACTTTTCTTCAGCGACCCACCAATGGGAATTTCCGGATGGCTTCGCATGCTTTTGATCCTCCAATTCTGGATAATTATCGGCTCAGCACAAAATCTTTGCGGTGCTATGATTGGTCGGCAGTCGGCACTGCCTTATACCTTATGTGACGTTTGCTCCTGATGCCCCACCGAGCTCGACCAAATATCGGTTTGGCGCCGGAGTTTGATTTAGGTTCGACGCCGCGGAATCGATTGGTTGATGTCCAATCAGCGGGGAATGGAAATTGTCAGATCGACGGTTATGTTTGTGCCGTTCCGAATTATAAACATCGCTATAAAAGCAGAGAGATAGGCACTGCTCACCGATGTAAACAAGTGATTGGGTTTAGAGATTGAGAGTAGTGACGCATTGGACATGATAAAGACGGCGCATTGGAACTTAAGACTTTCCAATAACCCTTTTGCCCCACGATGAAACTCGGTGGCTCTAACCCGCTGATGATTTCAGTGACATTGCGAATGATCTGTGACAACTGACCCTGACCCTGACCATCAACCCGCCTCTAGCTCTTGTGACCCGTGACAACGTGACCCGTCACTAACCTCTGTGACCCCGCCGCTGACCCCTGTAACTCTATGCCCGGTGATGTTGGTCATCACCCTTTCCGGAGCTGGTAGCGGAAGGGCTGGGGAGATTCATTGTTCCCAGGATCGTGCATTGTTTGTGGCCAGCCAGCCGACCAGCGGCAGACTCTGAAGTCTGCCCGGTCTGGTGCATTTTGCACAGTCTGTTGCAGTCTGCAGAGTCACCACCGGCGGGGTCTTTGTAGTCTGAGTCACACATGCGCCGCAGTCTGCGTGCCGTGTGGTCGGCAGTCTGTGCAGTATGAACCACGGTCTGCTGCAGATTTTGTCTGTTTTCCGTAACAACAGCGACCATCAAAACAGCAGGAACGAGTGACACTTCCCAACATAGCCAGTGTTATCGCCTGTCAAGATGCGTCGTGGAAAAAATAGCACTGAGCGCTCCCGGTAGCTGAACGATAAAATGCAAGGACATTTTAAACATAAATACAATACACAGCAAGGCACATAGGCATAGCTCGCAGCAAAATATCTCGCTCATCATGAACCATATCAGGAAATATCAACCCAACATAAGAAGGGATGATAAACAGCCGCACTCTGAACGGAACAGTTAACATTTACGGGCACATTATCATTTGTTCCGTATTGAGATAAGCAATAAGCAGTCACTACCCAGTGCATTATTCTTTGTCCGCGAACTATAATATCTGACAGTTGATTTATATTGGTCATGATCCTATTTGTAAGTCTTAAACCGTGACACATTTCGCTTTCCGATACCGTTTATGTTCCGGATAACAGCAGGGCTCAATAAGGCACTCATTCATCAGGGGTATCTGCCAGTGCAGAGTTCCAATCTTGGGTCCACCTGTGCATTGCATCGTTAATCCAGGTCAAAATCTGCTACTCAGGGCTGCCACTTGCGACTGTCAAAGGTGATGAGCTCCGGATAAAGGAATGCAGGCTATCTTCTCACTGGCATGGGCATTGAAAGTTAAAAGTACTCGCTACTGACAGGCTGTATGGGTCTTGTCCTTGTGTGTCAGTCAATGATCGCTTGCATTCAAGGAATGGCACCAACACATCACGCAATCCCGCGATACGTCGTCCAGTAATGACCAGAATCATTCTGTTTGTGATGGTCTCTGCGTCGTTTCTGGCAGAAAACATGTTAAACCCATAGATCGTCACGGTATATTGCAGTATTTTGAAGATTATGTAGCCGCTGCCGCGAACAGCCATGCATGACAGACAGTATTAATGCCAATCGGTTACAACGGACGGTTATTGAAGTGATTAGCAATGGATGTTTCAAAGAATGAATGCGGAACGTTTAGATGGTTATGTCTGAAAGATGGCTGAAAATTAACCCGCGCGGGGCTGGGGTCTCCAGCCAAACGCACGGGGCTGGGGGGGGGGGGGGGGGGTAAATTTTACCCCCCCCCCCTGTTATCTCCCGAACTAATGGTCCGATGTGAAAAATTCAAACGCCAATCGAAAGATCTCATCACGAACAACTAAAAACATGTACTTAATTTTAAGTTTGAGGTCAAGGTCAAGGTCAGGCCAAGGGTACAAATTGCAAGTTCCTACAGTATCGGCCTTGCACCGTAGTTGCCGAAGAATGGAGTCATGGACTGAGACTGATCGCCCAAAACGTGTTCTTATGCTACCAAGACAATATTCGTTGCATACAATATCATTCAGAGGTCAAGGTCAAGGTCAGGTCAGGTCAGGTCAGGTCACCAAAAACAAAATATAGAAAAGGGCATGTGCGATACATGTTTTATGGGTCATTTTACTCATAGAATTCAATAGGCACACTCAATAAGTGATATGGACCACCTCTGGATGAATTTCAGGTCGAGGTCAGGTCAAGGTCAGGTCAAGTGAGGTCAAATTTTGAAGTTGGTTGTTAAGGCCTAAAAAGGTGTCTATGTGAGGCAGTTTTTCACGGCGAGTCGAATGGTGCTATTTTTGTTTCCG